TAGGCTACAGAATGAATTCTAGGCTAGCCTGGTCAACGTAAAGAGGTTTTCTTTTTTTTTTGCATTTTTTTAATTTTATTAATTACACTTTATTCATTTTGTATCCCCCCATAAGCCCCTCCCTCCTCCCCTCCTGATCCCACCCTCCCTCCCCTTTCTGCATGCATGCCACTCCCCAAGTCCACTGATAGGGGAGGTCCTCCTCTCCTTTCTGATCTTAGTCTATCAGTTCTCATCAAAAGTGGCTGCATTGTCCTCTACCGTGGCCTGGTAAGGCTGCTCCCCCCTCAGGGGGAAGTGATCAAAGAGCAGGCCAATCAGATCATGTCAGAGGCAGTCCCTCTTCCCATTACTATGTAACCCACTTGGACACTGAACTGCCATGAGCTACATATGTGCAGAAGTTCTAGGTTATCTCCACGAATAGTCCTTGGTTGGAGTATGAGTCTCTGGGAAGTTCCCTGTGTTCAAATTATCTTGTTCTGTTGCTCTGCTTGTGGAGTTCCCGTCCCCTCCAGCTCTTACTATTTCCCACTTCTTACATAGAATTCCATTCACTCTGCCCATCAGTTGGCCATCAGGCTCAGCATCTGCTTTGACAGTCTATACTGCAGAAGCTTTCAGAGGCCCTCTGTGGCAGGTTTCAAGGTTGTTTCCTGTTTTCTTCTGGCTTTCAGAGGCCCTCTGTAGCAGGTTCCAAGGTTGTTTCCTATTTTCTTTTTCTTCTGATGTCCATCCTCTTTGCCTTTCAGGATGGGGATTGAACATTTTAGTTAGGGTCCTCTCTTTTGCTTAGTTTGTTTAGATGTACAGATTTTAGTGGGTTTATTCTATGTGGTATGTTTATATGAGTGAGTATATACCATGCGTGTCTTTTTGCTTCTGGGACAACTCACTCAGGATGATCCTTTCCAGGTCCCACCATTTACCTGCAAATTTCATGATTTCCTTATTTTTCATTGCCGAGTAATACTCCATTGTATAGATGTACCACAGTTTCTGCATCCATTCTTCAGTTGAGGGGCATCTGGGTTGTTTCCAGCTTCTGGCTATTACAAATAAAGCTGCTACAAACATGGTTGAGCAAATGTCCTTTTTGTGTACTTGAGCCTCTTTTGGGTATATGCCTAGGAGTGGTATGGCTGGATCTTGAGGAAGCACTATTCCTAGTTGTCTGAGAAAGCGCCAGATTGATTTCCAGAGTGGTTGTACAAGCTTACATTCCCACCAGCAGTGGAGGAGGGTTCCCCTTTCTCCACAACCTCTCCAGCATGTGTTGTCCCTTGAGTTTTTCATCTTTGCCATTCTGATGGATGTAAGGTGAAATCTCAGGGTTGTTTTGATTTGTATTTCCCTAATGGCTAATGAGGTTGAGCATTTCTATAAGTGCTTCTCTGCCATTCGATATTCCTCTACAGAGAATTCTCTCTTTAGCTCTGTTCCCCATTTTTTAAGTGGATTACTTGGTTTGCTGCTTTTCAGCTTCTTTAGTTCTTTATATATACTGGATATGAGTCCTCTGTCAGATAAAGGGTTGGTGATGATTCTTTCCCAATCTGTAGGCAGTCGCTTTGTTTTGATGACTGTGTCCTTTGCTTTACAGAAGCTTTTCAATTTCATGAGGTCCCATTTATTGATTGTTGCTCTTAGAGCCTGTGCTGTTGGTGTTCTGTTCAGGAAGTTTTCTCCTGTACCAATGAGTTCTAGGGTATTCCCCACTTTTTTTTTTTCTAGCCGATTTAATGTGTCTGGTTTTATGTTGAGGTCTTTGATCTACTTGGACTTCAGTTTTGTGCAGGGTGATAAGTATGGATCTATTTGCATTTTTCTACATGTAGACATCCAGTTGGACCAGCACCATTTGTTGAAGATGCTATCTTTTTTCCATTGTATGGTTTTGGCATCTTTGTCAAAAATCAGGTGTCCGTAAGTGTGTGGGTTTATTTCTGGGTCTTCTGTTCGATTCCATTGATCCACCATTCTGTTTCTATGCCAGTATCATGCAGTTTTTATAACTGTTGCTCTATAGTACAGCTTGAGATCAGGGATGGAGATACCTCCAGAAGATCTTTTATTGTAGAGGATTGTTTTAGCAATTCTCGGTTTCTTGTTATTCCATATGAAGTTGAGAATTTTTCTTTCCAGGTTTGTAAAGAATCGTGTTGGCAATTTGATGGGAATTGCATTGAATCTGTAGATTGCTTTTGGTAAGATGGCCATGTTTACTATGTTAATCCTGCCAAGCCATGAGCATGGGAGATCTTTCCATCTTCTCATATCTTCCTCTAATTCTTTCTTCAGAGACTTAAAATTTTTTTCATACAAGTCTTTGACTTGCTTGGTTAAGAGGTTTTATTTTAAAATAAAAACAAACATAGCTGGGAGTGTACCCTCGTGGTTAGATAATTCCTGAAAGTTGTCGCCATGTGTACACACACACACACACACACACACACACACACACACACACACATTTTAAAGAAGTACTGGAAAAGGAATCCGTAAAGGGAAAAATGTCTAGCAAATTATGCTTCACTAAAACAAAAAGCTTTACACTATGAAAACCCTTGTTAATAGGAAAGCAATGACTGGAAGGAAGTACTTCCACAGACAAAGTACTTGTATGTAAAATGTTGAAGAATGTCCAGAATCCATAATAAGACAATATAAAAACAGATTGGAAGTGAATAAAAAGTGGGCAAACTAGTAAATCCCTGTAATCTTGTGCTTGGGTGATAGAGACGGGAAAAGATGAAGTTAAGGGTCATCCTTGGATACATAGCCAGTTTGAGAGCACTCTGGGGCTTCCTGAGACTCTGTCTCAATGGCAATAAAAAAAGAGGACTAATGGACAAAATATTTGAATATACACTTCATTCAAGAAAACACACAGAGGCCATGAATGAGGGTATATGCCTGTAATGCTAGCTACCAAGGAGTCTGAGGTGGAAGGGTCCCATGATCAAGAATTACCTAGGATTCAGGACAAGTTCTAGACCATCGTAAGTAATTTAACAAGATGTGCCTTCAAAATAAAAATAAATAAATAGATAAATAGATAAATATTTATCTGTTTATCAAGGGACTTAGATGTAGCTCAGTAGTAGGATATTTGCCTAGCATTTCTGAGATCCTAGGTTCAATCCCACTAGCACAAAAAAGAGGATGCACAGAAGGCAAATAAACAAGCAGATAGAAAGATGGTGAGCATCATAGCCTAGTAGGAAACAAAAATTAGGTTGAAGATAAGCACACAGCGCATCTGTTTCAGTGGCTTGGTCACCTTTAGTGTGTGAACTGAATTAGGAGAATATACATCTAAGAGTCTTCCTTGATAATCCCCTCCAAAATGCCTAATTGGAACACAAAGAGAAGATCTTGGAACCGTGACCTAGTGTCAATGGAAGTGTCACATGTGCACATGAACTCTCTGTTTTCTCACTCTCTAGCTTTCACTCTCTTGCTCTCTTTTCTTAAGATAGAGTCTTATGTAGCTCAGGCTCACCTCAAATTCATGATGTATCCAAAGATGTCCTTAAACTCCCGAACCTCCTACTTTTGCCTCCCAGCCGCTAAGATCACAAGTACGTACTACCACACTAGCCCTGCTACCTCCTTAAATCCCACATTTGTGGTCAGAAGAGGGTGGTGACATACAGGTATGGTCTGCTAGCATCTACAAGGTACTGGAGACTGGAGAAAGCTAGAGAATAACTATCAGAAGAGTTATACGGTGCACTGGTGTTTCTAGCTTAAACAGCAAAGTCAAATCGGGAACTTCACAAAGCAGTAAGGTTAGAGTCAATCTCAGAGAGATTGGCATGATCTGGAGAGCGCTCCACTTACTGTGGAAAGGGACACCAACAGCAAACTGCTGTAGGAGTCAGAGGAGGCTTAAAGAATCTGCAACCACATGGACTTTTAAAAGAGCTGAGGAAAGGCTGTACCCAGGGCTGCTAGCAGCACTGGCTGAAGGAACACACCAGTAAAAACCCTCTTCTCTTCATACCGGCTGCTCAGCAGCGGACTAAGTAGCCCCAAGATGCCATCTCAAAAACACCATTGCTGTGTTGGTGTTTGTTTTTGTTTGTTTGTTGTTTGGTTGACTAGTTAATTGATTCAAGACAGGGTCTCACTGTGCAGCTCTGGCTCTCTTTGAATTTACAGTATAGACCAGGTTGGCTTCAAACTCACAGATATCTGCCTGCCTTTGCCTCCCAAGTGCTTGATTAAAGGCATGTGTGTCACTAATCCTAACCTGTGTTGATGTCTTGCCAACATAAGGGCCTCAGGGAGCTGCGCTCTGGAGGTACTCAGAGCAAGTGTCCTAAGACTACATGCTTATTTAAAGTGGAACCCATTACTGAGGATGTAGTTCATTGGTCGAGCTCTTGTCTATCATGAACAAGCCTTGGATGGGACAAGCCATCACATGTTTGCTTCTTGTAGTGTGCCATGTCTCTTTGCTAGCAGAGAGACATTTCCCCATTCTGAACACTTTGCAACCCTATGATTGGAGACAAAATAAAACACAATGAAGCAGTTTCTAATCTACATTTTCTTCTCAATATCAGACAGCCTGGACACTGCAAACAGGTTCCTACCCTCAGAAGATAGTATAGGTTTATCAGTTCAACAAAGCAAGAAAACCAACCTTCTAGAAGGAACTTTCTGAACCAGCAGACTGAAGATAATCAGGCACCAGCCCAATGTGCTTCTCTTTCCTTTTGCCAAGCAGTTTTGCTCTTTGACCCCAGCTGAAGAAGTACTCTGAGGACTTTATGATTCTGCAGCTTCCTTGAACAAGATCTCAGACATCAGGAGGATCCAGACAGCAGCCTGAGCTAGAGCAAGAGATAGGCAATGGCTGAGGGGAAAAGAAAAAAAGGTCCCCATATCAGCCTTGCGTGATCCCTTAGTGTAGAGATGAGATGAGGCTGTGAGAGGCATATCAAGCCTTGAGAGTAACTGAAGGGCATATGTGGGTTGTGTCTCCTCAGGATGTATTTCCCTCTTCGGTATACCCTATTCCATCCTGTTCAGTAAATTATGGCCCTTGGCTGTTCTCTGCTTTGCCTGGCTTGCCTATGATTGGAAAACCCACACTCAAGGTAAGAGAAGTGAATAGAATTGTGGTTGTGTCTGTGCTAAGAGTGGAGTCATGGGAACATGGAAGAGGGAGGTGGATAAAGAGATGAGAAGATGGAACAAAGGTCTTTGACGGGCTTCATGAAGCTTTAAGAGACTGGGATCTCTGAGTAGGTTGTTTCCCTGTCACCTTTCTAGTTTTCTGTTTAGTAGTTGGACCCAGGACATCTGAGATATAAGAGGGAGGCAGCTTCTAAAACTTGAGGAGCATAGGCCAAAATTTTCACCTCTGGGAGGGGTAGAGGGACTGGCAATGGCCCACTTGCCCTTCTCTTTTTCTCTGTCCACAGATGGTAGGCGTTCAGATTGGGTACGAAACTGGACCCTCTGGAAGTATTTCCAAAGCTACTTCCCAGTAAAGGTAACCTTTCCTTTTCATGCCCATTTTTCTTCTGGATGCCCTTGCTCCTTATTGCTTGAATTCCCACTTTCTGTTGAGATCCATGTTTTCAAGGGCTCCAATGGCCATCAGTGAAGGTGAAGGCATAGCAGTATAATGTAGAACAGAAACCCAAAATAGATTTGCAAGTGAGGAGACAGATGAGCAATACCTTTTTCCACAGTGGCAAACCCAGGTCAGCATCTCTTAGCACCATAATCCCCGGGAATCTCTATGACAATAACATCTTAAGGATATGGAGGCTATCAGCTGGGCTCTGACTTTATGGATCCTTTCATCCTTCTTCCTGATCAGTCTCCCTCAATCTTCTTCTAACAGCTGGTGAAGACTCATGACCTTTCTCCCAAACACAACTACATCATTATCAACCATCCCCATGGTATTCTGTCTTTTGGTGCCTTCATCAACTTTGGTACTGAGGCCACTGGCTTTTCCAAGTTGTTCCCTTCTATAACTCCCTATTTAGCAACATTGGAAGGGATCTTCTGGTTGCCAGCTGTACGAGAGTATGTGATGTCCAAGGGTGAGTACAAGCAATCATCTTGTTCTGAAATTCAACTCAAGATGTCTACCCTCAATAAGCCCTGATAGTCATTCTGGGATAGATGACTTGATTTATTTTCTAAAAGCATTCAACCAGTATCAGGAGTATGTGCCCAATTATCAGATTCTGCACAGATTGTGAGAAGCATTTTTGTTGGGCAGCAAGAGAAGTTACAGGCATTCATAGTGTGTGTGTGTGTGTGTGTGTGTGTGTGTGTGTGTGTGTGTGTGTATGGTGTGTGTGTGTGTGTGTGTGTGTGTGTGTGTGCGCATGCGCCTCTATGTAAGCTCTCATTTCAAGGCACCTTAAAGACACTGTAAAGTCTCTCATACCAATTAGTACATACAGTCTTGGTCCATGTCCTGTGTCTCCTGGGAGCCCCTTGATCCTTGCTTAAGATGCCAAGGATAAAGGACAATCATCTATCAGAATCCAGGACAACTTCCCAGTGCCAGGCTTAATACCAGGGCATTGTATCAGATTTCCTTCTCCCTGGATGAATATTCATCTTTCTGGACATCAGAAAACAAGTGAAGGCAAACTAAAAGGTAAGATACATTTATCTTGAGGGGAATCCCAGAGGATATTTCAGCTCTCCTCTTAGGTTGATATGGCCATGTAGCTAGGGTTTCTGTTGATGGCTAGACCTTGGATGCAAATTCTGCAAAAATGGAATTTCAAAGTGATGAACATCTGTGGTTTTAACTGAACAGGATACTATCCACATTCCATTGTTCATCTACATTTCAGTTTGGCTTGATCTGTCTGATCATCTGAAATCCTAGTCAAAGGATCCTTTTGGCAGCTTGATTTTCGGGGAGGAGCACACTAGTTTGTGGTGGCTAGCTTGATCACCACCAGAGGAAATGCCTCTGGAGGTTTTCTAGAGCTCAGCCTGCTCAGAGAGAAAGACAACTCTACAGTCTATGGGTAGAAATGGGAAGGGGGAAGCTAAAGACTGTCTATAGGACAGGAGACTATGAATGGAAGCAGACAGAGAAAATCAGTATAACCCTGACTGTAGAAGCCTGCAGTCCTACCAAGGCAAGCATGCAGCTGCTACTAAGGATACATTCTCCAGTTAGGGTTAACTCAAGACAAGAGACCAAAGACAGAAGGTGATAAAGGGCCTCCAGCAGGAAGAACCTGAAGGAAGCCTTCTCCTACACTCAGGCACCCAAGTTCATTCTACCCACTACCTGACTTTTTGGTTTCACAGGTATATGTCCAGTGAGTGAATTGTCCCTGAAGTATAAGCTGACCCAGAGAGGCTCAGGCAATGCTGTGATCATTGTAGTGGGCGGAGCTAATGAAGCCATCTTGTCCAACCCAGGAGTCTCCATACTCTACCTAAAAAGTCGTAAAGGTTTTGTGAAGCTGGCACTGAAGACAGGGTGGGTCACTAGGTTTGGGGACTCTCTTATCACATTACTTGGAACCTCTGTTGCTCTACCCAAAATGGCACACACTCTAGGAAACCTGATAGATACCTCCTCTTTACTGTGATTACTTCCTTTTATCCTTCACATTATGCCTTGGGGGTATTTGGAACTCCAGACATTTGGGTGAGCACTTTTGGATCTTGAAACTGGGGGAGAAAGAGTAGAAGAAGGTCCATTAATCTGGGGCTCTGGGAAAAAGCGGCTTTGTTCTGTATTTACTTATTCACTGTGAGGCCCTAAGAACCACCCAAAGGCAATGATGGCACTGGCTGAGTGCTCAGATGATAACCCCAGAGTGTTTTCAGCAGCTATCAAATACCTAGTATGTATCAAGCTTAGTACAGGACATCAGAATACAGGAATAAATGATCGACAGTACTTGAAGACTCCCAATGTAGATTACACACCTAAGGTAGATTACAAATCCAAGGTAGATTACAAATCCGTTCACATATCATAACAAAACATATGTAGAGTCTAGCTACTTAGCATCCCAACTACCATCCCATAGGTCTAAACATCCTTGGAGCTTCTCCTTTTCTTCTGTCCCTGCTTCCTTCATCTCCAAGATTCTAGTCCCAGTTGTAGCTAGCATGATCCTGGTAAACCATGGGTCAAGTTATATCATGTCTCAAAATGCTCCAATAACTCCTATGCCACACAGAGCAAAAGATTTTGAAGAATCTGGTCTTCAGCCACCTCCCTGACTTCAGTCCTCACTAGTCTCTCCATTGCCACCTCTTTCATTTCCAATAAACACCATGAGTGTGGACATTTTTCTCATCTTTTGTATTCACTGGTGTATCCACATGACCTAAAACAGTGCTATTACATAAAAAGAACTCAGTGGAAATTTGTTGGGTAAATGAAAATAAAGGAGAAATATGCAAAGTTCCATGAGAGCATCAATTTATGGAAAGACTATGGCCCAGACTAGAGGTTTCATTGGAGAATGACATCTGAACTATGCTAAAGTTAAAATATGAGTAGAAATTGCCAATCAGACAAAAATGGGAAAAGAGCTAGGCATTATGTCACATGCCCGAAATCCATTCCACTCTATAGTCTGAAGAAGGAAGACTACAAGTTCAAAACGAGCCTGGACAATTTGACAAGATCCTGTCTCCAATTAAAAATGTTTAAAGATCTGGGGTCCATCTTAGTGATAAAGTGCTTGCTTGACATGTACACGTCTCTGGGTTGAATTCCCAGCACCTCAAAAACAATACAGAAAACAAACAAACAAAAGGGAAAACCCATGCATTCAATAAAAAAAATATGATATATGCAGTACCACACCAGACCAGACCCTAGGGATTCAAAGAGAACTGCCCAGATTTTCACTTTTGATTGGACAGACAGGTAAGGAGGTGACTACAAGGCTGGGCATGAAGGTGGGAAAGCAGAACAGGGGGAAGAATTAGCTGAGGGATAACAAACCCACAGTGGGAAATGAGAGTGACCAAAGATTTCTTTAAAGAGATGTGGTTAGAACAGAGTACTGAGAGGCAAAATGGAATTTGCTACATAAAGAGAAGGCAGAGATGAGAGAACTTGGCACACTTTATAAGGTTAAGTAGTGGGGAAGCTGGCCAAGGTCTAAGACACTGATCTCTTGCTAAGCAGTGAGAGCTGCAGTGAGAAGCTCTGGGAGGACTTTGAAGAGAGAAGTGGCATGTATACATGTGCAGTTTGCGGGTATCATGTTGGATGCTGAACAAAGGTGCTAAGTCCTGAGCTTACTTCTTGCTGTCATGGTCTAAGGCGCTGCAGCAATACTGAGGTTCCATTGGAGGAAGTGGTATGGCAGGAATGAAACATGAAGCTGGTGATATATGGGTGCTTGAAATCTGGTCATGTTGGTGGGAGGTTGGGGATATTTTCCACTTCAGAGTGTTGCTGGGGGAGATTTTGCTCAATGAAGAGCTCATACTGCTCTCCTTCTCTTTGCAGATCATACCTTGTCCCTTCTTACTCCTTTGGTGAGAATGAGGTTTACAACCACACGGTCTTTCCTGAAGGCACATGGCTAAGGTTTTTCCAAAAACACTTCCAGAAAACTGGCAAAAAGCTCTTCGGCATAAATTTCTGTACCTTCCATGGCAGGGGCTTCACTCAGAAATCCTGGGGCCTTGTTCCTTTCAAACATCCAATTACCACTGTTGGTGAGCTTTCTTACTTTTTCAAGGGCGCTCAAGTTTTTGGTCTCTCACCCCAAGTCATCCATCAATCCCAAGGCAATCTGGATCACAACCAGGGTACACTAAAGGAATTACAGAAGGTGCAGCTGAAAGCAGTGTGGAAAGGTCAACCAAACAGATAATACTTGCTGCCATTCATGGGTGGGATAGAGCTCACCAGATGTCATAGGAACATTATTATTTAAATTATTAAATGAATTATTTAAATTCATTCAGCTCTTTCCTACGCTTGCTTTTATTCTCTGGAGCATTGGTAAGACTTAAGTGACCAGAAAATGAATGTCAGGACATACCTGGAGCAAGGGAAAGAATGAATGGAGGGGAACAGCCACAGATACTGTTGGAATGTGCACCCCTACTAAGGTGTGGGTAGTGTTGTTGTGATAGGGACTCTGACACTCGTCTCTGTTCTTCCTCTATAGTTGGAGAACCCATTCCAGTCCCCAAAATCAGTGATCCTGACAATGAGACGGTGGAAAAGTACAGTGAACTTTACATCAGTGCCATACGAAAGCTGTTTGACCAACACAAAGCTGAATTCGGCTACTCTGCGACCCAGCAGCTGACAATTATATAACATGAGTAAAAATCTCTGTAACTAAAGCTCAAATACATAAGGGATCCAGATGAAGCCACAGGGAAGGAAGAATTTGGGGAGAGACGCAGATTTTAAAGATGTGAACAGAGGCCAACCAAGCCAGAAGTGCTGAATGAATTGGCAATACTGCAATTGAATCCCCACTTCAGTAGTTAAGACAATTTTGGGAATGGGGAGACAGGAAAGGACTGGTGAGGACTTGCCTAGTAGAGGGGGTAGCTTGTTATTTTATGACAATAAACTAAGTTCGCTCTCATCAACTCCCTAATGAAAGTAATGAGAAGACAAGATACTCTTTGCCCTTTCCCTACAAACCTTAGCGACATTGTCAGTATTTAGGCGTAAGCTTAGAAGCTTTACTTAGAACAGGAATTGTTTGCATACTCCAAGGCCAGGACCTTGCTTTCTGATTTAAGGACTGGGTAAACTGGGGACCTGAACTGTGGCTTCCTAATTCAAACAGACAATACTCCCTCAATTGTGCTGGTAGTCCCATGGTTTCCCCCACAAAAATAAAGCTCTGGAATGAACTAGTGTGTGACTCCTCCCTCATTTCTCTGTGGTTCTGGTAAAGTACAGGCTACCTAATTCTTTTCCTCAGCCATCCTTTATGCTTCTTGAGAGAAAGGGTGATAGAATGGAAGCACAGCTGCTTCACAGTGGAGCAGAAATCCAGTAACGGGTCCAGATACCCACAAAGCAGCTGTTTCTTCTGAGCCGTCAAAAACCACCCTAGGCCTGAGTAGATGAGATGGCAAGACTGTTCAACAGCGATATGTTCATTTGATGTCAAATACAAACTATGTGCCATGCAACATGTCATTATATTCACAACCTTTGTCCTAGTGTTAACACCAGCCCTGTAAGACCGTACTCATTGCCATCCCCATTTACCAATAGCTAGAGTCCTTAGAAGTTAAGTAACTTATCCAAAATCATACAATTTTGTATACAACTAGCATCCAAACCCATGTCTCACTAATTCCACACCAAGGTTCTCTCCAACATACCTAATTCACTACAGTGTCTCAGCCTTCATTTTCTAGAGGCATATTTATCAGTTTGCTTTCTACTTTTTTTTTCAGATATTTCGCTCCATTTATTCATTGTATATGGTGTTGTCATGGAGGACACTTTCACACAAGTATAGGCATTGAGCACAAGCCTATCTAGCTTCTAAGGGAGGGTGGTCTTGAAAATGTACTCTTCCTGCCTTCTTTCCCAAGACTGGGAAACCAACAAGCCTTGTTGGATGCAGTACTGAGCATCAAACCAGGACATTGAATATGCTAGCCAGTCGTTCAGTCTGTTGTGTTTCCTTAAATGGTCCCATAGCCCTCCAACAAAACTAGCTATCAAGTGCATATGAAATTGGCAGGGATTGTTATTGAGTCATGGTTCTCTCAAGAAAAGAACTGTAAAAAGAATATACATATACAGTGTTTTATCAACCATAAAACAGCATATAACATAGCAGTTCCATTTCTTAGGTCTATATCCAAATATAGTACACACATACACACACACACATATATTCATCCAGACCCACAATATATGTTCTATGTAGTCCAAAAAAAATGCTGTCTGAAAATAGGAAGGCAGAGAATCTAGTAGTTTTACAGTCCATTTATGATCTTTATTCTATGGTGAAATCACAAAGATATCGCCAATGAAAGAATGCCTCAAAAAAAATTAAAAAAAAAAAGAAAGAAAGAATGCCTCAGCAACAGGATAGATGAATTTGCCAGCAAAAGAGTGAAAATAGGCAAAAAGAAAAGCTTCCTTCTTTCTGGTACTTTTATAGGGGCTGCCAGCAGAAGGTGTGGCCCAGATTTAGGGTGGGCCTTCCTGCTTCAGATAATCTGATTAATAAAATCCTTCACTAAACCTACTAAAATCTGTACATCTAAAGAAACTAATCAAGAGGGAGGGCCTTGACTAAAATGCTCAATCCCCATCCTGAAAGGCAAAGAGGATGGACATCAGAAGAAGAAGAAAGCAGGAAACAACCTAGGAACCTGCCACAGAGGGCCTCCGAAAGCCTTTGCCCTGCAGACTATCAAAGCAGATGCTGAGTCTTAATGGCCAACTGTTGGGCAGAGTGCAAGGAATCTTACAAAAGAAGAGGGAAATAGTAAGATCTGTAGAGGACAGGAGCTCCACAAGGAGAGAAACAGAACCAAAAAATCTGAGCACAAGGGTCTCTCCTGAGACTGATACTCCATGCATGTAAGTACCATGCATGTACCATGCATGGAGATAACCTAGAACCCCTGCACAGATGTAGCCCATGACACTTCAGTGTCCAAGCGGGTTCCATAGTAATGGGTAGAGGGACTGCCTCTGACATGAACTGATTGGCCTGCTCTTTGATCACCTCCCCCTGAGAGGGGAGCAGCCTTACCAGGCCACAGAAGAAGACAATGCAGCCACTCCTGATGAGATCTGATAGATTAAGATCAGAAGGAAGAAGAGGAGGACCTCCCCTATCAGTGGACTTGGGGTGGGCATGCATGGAGAAGGGGTCAGAAGGTGGGATTGGGAGCGGAGGAAGGAGGGGTTAATGGGGGGATACAAAGTGAATAAAGTGTAATTAACCAAAATTTTAAAAAAAAATTAAAATTAAAAAATATTAAAAAAAAAAGAAAGAAAACAGGCTGGCAAGCCATGGTGAAATGATAGTTTTAAATGGTGAAGTTTTAAAGTTGTTATTTACTTATTTTTTTATAGTTTATTCACTTTATATCCCAAATGTTGCCCCTCCCTCATTTCCTCCTGGTCCCACCTTTCCTCCCACTTCCCTCCTATCCCTCTCCCCTAGTCTACAGGAAGGGGGAGCCCTCTTCCCTTTCCATCTTAATCCAGCCTATCAAGTCTCATCAGGACTGACTGCCACAGACTCTTCCTCTGTGGTCTGGCAGGGTTGTGCCACTAGAGGAAAGTGATTAAAGAGCAGGCAACAGAGTCTATGTCAGACACAACCCCTGCTCCTCTTACTAGGGAACTCGCATGGAGACTGAGCAGCCTATGGGCTACATCTGAGCAGTGGTTCTAGATCCTTGCATGGTCCTTGGTTGGTGCATCAGTCTCTGCAGGCCCCCATGAGCCCAGATTGCTGACTCTGTTGATCTCCTTGTAGAGCTCCTGTCCCCACTGGGTCCTTCTATCCCACCAATCTTCCATAAGACTCCTTGCACTTGGCCCAATGTTTGGCTGTGAGTCTCAGCATCTGAATTGATCTCCACCATACAACAAGGACATTTGTTCAACTATGTCCACAGCAGCTTTATTCATAATAGCCAGAATCTGGAAACAACCTAGATATCCTTCAACCAAAGAACGGATACAGAAATTGGGGTACATTTACACAATGGAATACTACTCAGCTATTAAAAACAAGGAAATCATGAAATTTGCAGGCAAATGGATAGAACTAGAAAATATCATCCTAAGTGAAATATCCCAGACCAAGAACTACACTCATGGTATATATACTCACTTATAAGCAGATATTAGCCATATAATACAGGATAACCATATTACAATCCACAGACCTAAAGAAGCTAAACACTTAAGAGGACCCTAGGGAGGATGCTTAATTATTATTTAGAAAGGCAAATAGAAAAGACACAGGAAGTGGCTGAAGAGAGGGAACAGGAACCTACTATAAATGTCCTCTGAGACTTCACTCATCAGTGGAAGTTTAAAAATTTTAAAGCCTATATGTAGCTTCTTTTATTCTTCATTTTGTTTTAAGTCAGGCATGGTAGCACACGCCTGTGATCCTATCACTCAAGAAGGCCAAGGCAGGCAGAACATTATGAGTTTAAGGCCAGCCTGGTCTGCAAAGCAAATCCAGGACAGCCAAGGCAACACAGAGAAACCAAACAAGGACATGTCTTGAAAAACCAAGCATACACAGCATCCTTAGTCATCAGGGAAATGAAAATCAAAATGAGCTTGAAATTTCACCTTACACCCATCAGAATGGCTAAGATCAAAAACTCAAGTGACAACACATGATGGAGAGGATGTGGAGAAAGGGGAATCCTCCTCCATTGCTGGTGGGAATGTAAACTTGTACAACCACTTTGAAAATCAATCTGGCTCTTTCTCAGACAATTAAGAATAGTGTTTCCTCAAGATCCAGCTATACTACTCCTAGGCATATATCCAAAAGATGCTCAAGTATACAACAAAGGCATTTGCTCAACCGTGTTCGTAGCAGCTTTATTTGTAATAGCCAGAATCTGAAAATAACCCAGATGTCCCTCAACTGAGGAATAGATATAGAAATTGTGGTACATTTATACAATAGAATACCTCTCAGCTATTAAAAACAAGAAAATTGGGATACAAAGTTGATACACTGTAACTAATATTAAAAAAATAAAAATTTAATTTAAAAATAAATTAAAAAACAAGAAAATTGCAGGCAAATGAATGGAACTAGAAAAGATCATCCTGAGTGAGGTATCCCAGAAGTATATACACATGGTATATACTCACTTTTAAGTGGATATTAGACGTATAGGATAAACACACTAAAATGTGTACACCTAAAGGAACTAAGCAAGAAGGAGGACCCTAGGGAAGATGCTCAATCTTCATTCAGAAAGGCAAATGGGATAGACATCAGAAGCAAGAGAAAACAGGGAACAGGACAGGATTCTAACACAGAGGGCCTCTGAGAGACTCTACCCAGTAGGGTATCAAAGCAGATGCTGAGACTCATAGCCAAACTTTGGGCAGAGTGCAGGGAATCTTATGAAAGAAGGGGGATATAGAAAGACCTGGAGGGGACAGGAGCTCCATAAGGAGACCAACAGAACCAAGAAATCTGAGCACAGGGGTCTTTGCAGAGACCTATACTCCAACCAAGTACCATGCATGGAGATAACCTAGAACCCCTGCACAGATGTAGCCCATGGCAGCTCCGTCTCCAAGTGGGTTCCCTAGTAATGGGAACAAGGGCTGTC